ACAAAATGTAAGTGAAGGACAAAAAGACAAATAAATGGCAAGCAATACCACGTTCGTATATGGGAAAACTCAATACCTTAAAGATAGCAAATCTTCCCAAGCGGTGTTTTCACAAGCAAGTCTGAAGTTAACCTGCATAAAAATTACCTAGAGTGCTTCTTAAAATATAGATTCTTAGGCTCCATTTTAAAAGTACTGAATCAGCACGTCTGAGGATGAGGCCCGGGAATCTGCATTTTAGAAAGCTCTCCAGATGATTTTTTTGTGTACTAAATTTTGAGAACCTCCGTCTTAAGGGAAGAGGTCATAACCTGAATTGCACATGAGAATTATCTGGCGCAGTTTGAAAAGATTCACATGCGCAGGCTATACCCCAGACCAATTAAATCAGAATCTCTGGGCAAGGCAGCTATGTAACAACATTTTTTTTTTTTTTTGCGGTACGCGGGCCTCTCACTGCCGTGGCCTCTCCCGTTGCGGAGCACAGGCTCTGGACGCGCAGGCTCAGCGGCCATGGCTCACGGGCCCAGCCGCTCCGCGGCATGTGGGATCTTCCAGGACCGGGGCACGAACCCATGTCCCCTGCACCGGCAGACGGACTCTCAACCACTGCGCCACCAGGAAAGCCCTGTAACAGCATTTTTTAAGTTCTCCAGTGATTCCATTGTACAGCCAAGGTTGGGGACCACTGCCCTGGGTGAAGGTGCACCTAGAGTCAGGTCTGTAAGGTTTGCTGCCCTTCCCCATTTGAACATTTACTTCTAGTGCTAACCGAGTAGGAATCCCCCTTTATTTTGATTAAGGAAAACACAATTTCTTCACATAGGGTTATCACTTTTTGGTATCTCCAGTATCCTGTCTGATACATTGCAGGGGCTTGGTGGTCATTTTCCAAAATTAATTCAGCTAAATGAAACTGAATGAAATGAATCGATATGTAGGTGAATAAATTTTTCATCTAACTTTAAAACTTTCACTGGATTCAACAAATCTATTTGATAGTTGGGCACAATGTTACACTGTGAGAGATACAGAGATGAACAAAATACAGCCCCCTTCCCTTCAAGTGTTCCTATCTGGTAGGGGAGGCAGACAGAGACAAAAGTATCTTACAATCAAGAAGACAATGAGAAGTGTACAGAATACGAAAGGGGAATAAGAGAAAAATTAGTCCTGCGTGGCAGGGCCTGGAAGGCGTTGTTGAAGACTAGTATCTGAGATTGGCCTTGAAGTATTGCTGGGATTTAGTTAGGAAGATCCTAGGGAAACGGGCACTTGCCCTGTAGGCACAGGGCAGTTCTGTATAGCATAAGCCAAGTCAGATGGGCCTTTCTCTAACCTTTATGGAAGACTGCAGGGTAGATAGGAAAGGCTCTTTTTCTTTCTGATTTCCTTGTTACCGCTCTCATTTTTCAAGTACTATTTTGCCTCTGGTTTATTAATTCTACCTCCTGGTGCCCCAGATGATTTCTTCCAGGAAAAGTTGCTCATTAGCATTTCTATGGGGAGCACCTGCTACCCCATCTATCACTCTTAACCAACGGCTGGGGCAATGGGGTTGGCTGAGAGAGGAAATTTAATCCCCTCCTATGACTCATCTATTTCCTAACTGAGAATGCTAGGTCTAAAGTCACAAATAGCTGCGCAGTAAAATCCATCCTTAACATTAAAAATAACGAAGACATGTTTCTCAATTTTATAATGTCATTTATGTCATATGAATGTATTGAAAATCAACTTCATGATTGAGAATAATTCTAAAGATACCTCAGATACTGCTTGAATGCAAAAAGTCTCAGGCTAGTGTGGATAGGTTATGAATTAAATGAACTGTTGAACAGGGAAGGTTTCTCAAAACCATAGCGTCAAAGGACATTTGATGTTATCTACTGATTGTACATTGCAGGAGGAAACCAAATAGCATGTATATGACTCTGGATGCTGAATATATATTTTATATTATGTACCAATATATCAAGCTGATGGATTGTATATCCTTTCTCTATTTAAGCAAACTGCTCACACTGATGTTACATGACAGATGTCATTTGTAAAGCCCATAAGATGAACCAGTCACCATGGTGTAAACCACCATGATTTATGTAGAGTGGCAGTAGAAAAGGATTTGTCAAATTATCAGTGAAATGTAGCCCAGCTTGGCTTCTAAGGTGATGTAAGGCTCATTTACAGAAGACATGGAACATACTTAAATTCAGGAGATATTTAGAATCCTAGCAAGGAAAAGGATGTGAGAGAATAGGGGGGAAAAAAAATCAATGTTCCAGATAAGCCTATAATTTCCAGGCATTTTTTTCTTTATTGTATACTTAATTAATAGATTATCTTATTTCTTCATATCTACTTTCACCCAAAGTGCATTTCCCTATTATTAGTTAATTTTTCTTCTGGAACAAAAAATAATGTTAAATTTCACATCAAGTTTGTCAAGTACTTAAATTGTCCATTAAAGAAATTGATGTTTCTTAGCAATACTCATTCTCTTGATGCTTCAAAACCCTTCTGATGATACAGCAAAATGGAACTGCTGATCCCAAAGTCATATGCATAATTAAATTTTACAGAAGACTCAAATTAGAAAAAAATGTTTTTTGAGGTACACAGAGATTTTTCTTGACAGGTTGATGAAATTCTGATAGCTATGAAAAATGATCATTCTTACCAGCTGCAAGAGCATAGCCTGCCCCTATTCAATCAAATCACTTGCAGGATGTGTGTAATTCTAACTGTAAAGGATGACATGCTTACTGCACAGTTAAGGTGTTGTTTGGGAGGAAAGAGGCTACACAGAACAAAGGTACAACCCAAAATATTTGGAGTGAGTTGTGTCTGAAGGGTGGTTTACGCCCTGACTGAACCATCATTTATGAACAAAGCAAGTCCTACCAGCCTGGAAACATAAACTGAGTAGGATCATCAAATGAGATTTGAGAATCTGGATCTCTCTTGATTGGCATTGACTGTATCGAGGTGAGGAGAGGTAGATTCTGTCTGGTAGGTGGTAAGGTTCCACCTGCCCCAGGGTGGTAGACTGCGAGTGGGAGGATGAAGAGACCAGTCCAGAAATCTGTGATGTTAGGCCAACCTTAGGGTTCTTAGGGAACAAAGGTAGGGCCTTGTAAACAACAAAGCCATGACAGAGTCATAACATTGTATCCTGGCTTTGTTTTTTTATTCCCCTTTCTTTTCTTTTTGATTCTCCTTGGTAACAGCATAAAGATTTTGTGAAAATTCCACCTTCTCATAGCTAGAACCAAGGAAAAGGATCCATGTCCTTGCCTGACCCAGAGCTTTAAAAGGAAGTGGTATATTCCTGGGGGACCAGTGTGGTCATGATAACAAGACACCAAGAGACAAATGCCAGGTGGGAGGTGGAATTCAGGAAGAAGGAATAGGGGCCAATTGATTAACTGCCCCGTTTCATTGGGAAATGCTTTCCAGAGGTAATACCTGAGTGGGGGGCAGATTTTGCCTTAACAAGAGAGGATGTCTGTCAATGCTATTCTTCCTCAGCATAAGAGGGAGTGTTTGTCATATTTAATGGAGAAGGACATCAGTCTGATGAGGCTATATATACGGTCCTGGCAAAAGACACTAACTCTGCAGTCCTCCTGTCCACACCCTCCTGCAGGAAGGAGGCAACTGGCTGTGGCATTGATGAAGGACCCCATAAGCCACATTTTGAACACCTCTAGCTCAATTACTCATCATGTACGTCTTCTTCCCCAGAGACCCCAAACCCAATGCCACGTATTCAGAGTCAACAGTGATCTGTTAGCTAATTGTTTCCATTTGAAACATAAGGGCAGGACTGAAAGCTTAGCATTCAGAAATACATATTAAATGAATGAAGGGTGAGAAAGCAGACTGGAAGGACTGAGGCTGCAGCAGAGGGAGAATTCTAGAAAAAGAGAGAGGGAGAAAGAGAATGAATGAATAAATATGCTCTTGTTGAAGGCATTCATTTAAAGGGAATTTAAATGTGCTGAAGAGGGGGTTCTTGGTGGTAACAGAATGAGAACCACATTTGGCAAACATGAAAGGAAAGGAGACGCATCAATAGGGGAGAAGGCTGGAAGTGTCTGGGAAGTGGAAATCAAAGTAATGAGGCATCATGTAGAAGGCTGGAATGGAACCAAGATGTACTAATTACCTACCATGTGCCAGGCATAATTCTCCTCCTGAATCATCTCCTTTAATCTTCAAAATGTCTAGCATAGTGCTTAGCATATAGTAGGTGCTCAAAAATATGTTGAGTATTTAATATTAAATCAATACATGAGCAAACAATCTAAGAGAAGAATCTATTATCCATCACGTCTTACAGATAAGAACCCTAGGCCAAGAAATGTTAAGAAACTTGCCCAGAGAGTCGCAGCTAGAGGTGTAAGGAATCTGCTTTCAGCATAAGTGGCTGAAAGAGGAGGGTGCTCTATAAGGGACTGGCAGGGAATCTAGAAAAGGGTGTGGTGCTTGGTGGTCTCCCAGGGATTGAGACAGAGGGGGTAAGAATGAAGGGCCAAGTGAACCGAGCTAGGGAGGAGGGGAAGGGGGAGAGATCGCTCTTCTTTGGGGAGGATTGGCCATGCTGGAAGGCACGGAGGCCCTTGGGTGGCAGCTGAGCCAGCAAGGGGCAGCATCCAGGCTAATGCAGCCAGTGAGTTGGGTGGGGCAGAATGGAAGCACAGCCAGTGAAGAAACTGCAAAGGTCTCTGTTGGGCAGGCAGGGACTCGGGTTGGGGCAGAGATGGGGAAAAGATGGCTGAAGTGGTTAAGTGAAAGACTTTGGCAAGATGAGATGGATAATACTAACAGCTTTCACAAAAGAAAGAGCCAAAGAGCAGTCGGCCAGGGCTGGGGAGGGGAGGGGGTGTGTTCTGGGCTGGAGGGGGAGGCTGACAGGGAGGTCTGCGATGCAGAGAATCTGTGGGAAAGGGTAAGGATGACCAGCCCCGTGGCCTGAGCTACGGGCTGCGTCTCACCTGTAAGAGCTGCTCACCGCACTCGCCACCTCCTCGCGGATTTGCCTGTTGAGGGCGTCGGCCGCCGCACGCCCCTTGCCCCCCTCGGGGCCCGTGGCCTGGACCTGGGCCTGGGCTGCGGGCAGCAGCGCCTGCTCGTGCCCCATCCCCTCGGCGCGACGCAACATCCAGGCGGGCCCAGGCTTCTTGCGTGTGTCGCGCTCTTCCGCACTGGTCGCCCTTCCAGCCGCAAGGCCACCTGCTCCTCCAGGGGCCGCCTCCTGCTCCTGGGCCTCGGCGGCGGCCTGCACCGGCCAGCGCTCCTGGCTCTGCGGCCGGCGCTGAGGCGCCCCGAGCACAGGCGTCGCCGCCTGGGAGGACGTGGGGATATGCACTGGCTTGGGAATCCACGGGTGGTCTCCGCGTCGCGGCAGTGGCCAGGCGCGGAAGTCCTTCTGGTACTGGGTCTCGCGCTCAAACGGCGCGTCCGAAGGCTGGTACTCGCTGCGCGGCCGGCAGCTCGGCTCCGGCCGCTGCACCTTCCAGGCGCGGTAGTCCTGCCGCATCACCGAGTCCGCGGGGCCCGCGCTGGAGGTGGAGCCGGAGCCAGAGCCCGGTCCCGGGCCGCTCCGGCCAGAGGTGGCCCCAACCTCGCGCTCGCCGCTAGGCCCCGGCGCCGGCCCTGTTGCCCGGGCAACCACATCCCCTTCGCCTTGGGCCGGCTGCGTTTCTATGGCGACCGCGCGCGCCGAGGGGGGCGCGGGCGCCTGCTGTGCAGGCTGCGCCGGCTGCTGGTGCGGCGGCTGGGCGCCCGGGTGCTCGGTGGCCTCCGAGTACTTCGTGAAAACCAGCGGCACGGCGATGTCTGCCTTGTCCAGCTGGTTCCAGAAGCGGGCGATGCAGCAGGCGCGCGTGATGCACGGCCACGCCATGGTGCTCGCCTCAGAGCTAGTACTCCCTCTTCTTGCTCGATTCTAAAACAAGTCCCTAATCTTCCTCAGCCCCCTGGCCCTCGTCCGGCCAATCTGGTTCTCACTGTGTTTTCCTTGGTGGCCTGAGCTACCGCCCCCTCCTACCTCAGAGAGCACCCGGGAAGGTTGGGTGGGCAGAGCTATCACTGAGAAAGTCCGTAAAGTCCCTCGATGCCCGGCTGTAAACGCCTCCGGGAGCCGCCGCACAGGTCTCGGGAGCGCGGTCTGCTGTGGGCTGCGCAGCGTGAGACACCGCGTCCCGGGTCCCCAGGCGAGGGCGTCTGGGACGCGCCCCTCCCTGCGGCTGCTGCGGCGCTCAGACCCCTGCCAAGCAAGGCAACGCGAGGCGAGGTGACTGCAGGCTTAAGCCATGGCGCAGAGGAAGGGCCGGGCAGTGTGGCCGCAGGGGCCGCGGACAAAGCTCTATCTTCTCCTTCCCGCCGGCGTCCAGTCGCAGGCGGCCACCTAGCAGGGCTCAGAGGAGATCACCTCTCGAGGAGACCGAGCATTGCTGCCGCCACCGCTGCTCCCAATGATGCTGCAGCCGCCGCCGCCGCCGCTGCTGTCTCTGCTGCGGGGAAGCGGCCCCACCCTTTTCTGCCGGTCAGTAGAGGGGGGGAAAAATCCAGGAAAGATGCTGAGAGATAGCGCGATGCAGAAAAAAAATCACCTGCTGTCGTCAGCGCGCGCTGCTGGGAACTCGCCCTCTCTCTTTTCCCTCCTCCCTCTGATCTGGCAGCTCCTCCCTCTTCAGTTCCTAGGCAACAACAGAATCTGGGGCCTAGGTAGGTTCAAGTACCAGGCTCCTTATGACTTGCTGTCCTTACACTGGTTGCTTCCCAACTGGGAGCCTCAGGCTCCTCTTCTGTGAAATAGGGTCAAACATGTGGGAAGGGTGGGGGGAATTCAGTTTAAAAATACGGAGGAAACCCCTAGTGAAATGTCTGTCCCAGAATATAGGTTTTTTAAAAAGGAAGTTCCTGTTATTGGCCAAAGTCTCTGGCCTGGATTTGAACCCCTTTGGCTGGCTTCTGATCCAAGCACTTGTCAGTCTTATCCACAGACCTTGCTCAGATGTGGGAAGAGGAACCTGCAGACTGATGGTACCTTAGCTGTTCCCTTCCTAGGGGACCCTTGGGGGAAGGGATGTCTTACAGCTTCCCAAGAACCATCCAATCCCTGTTCAGCCCAGGGGCCACACTGGAGGGGAGACAGTGAGAAGTAAATTCTTGAAAGGGGCCTAAGTGGGGAGGTCACGGAGGGTGGGAAACAGCGAGATCGTGTCCTGGGAAAGGGTAGGCCTGACATGCAGTGGCTTTCTGCCGTATTCCTGACCCCTAGCCTTTGCTTTCCTTCTACCTGGGAGGCAGAAAAATTTTGGGGTCAGATGTTCCTGCTTTGGCTCTGATACTTCCTACCTGTGTCACTTGGACAAGTTGGGTCATCCCTGAACTTCAGTCTCCTCACCTATAGAATGGAGGAAATAACAGCTACCTCAAAGTGGTTTTGTGAAGATAGCTAAGGACTCAGAGCAGAAGCTATGAGTCAAATCAGATCCCAGAGGATTCAAATCCTGGCTTTTGCATGCCTTAGCTCATGGCCATGGGCACATCACTGCAACTTTCTGACCTTTAGTTTCATCTTTGAATGGGGGTGCCAGCTCTAAACTCACAAGGTTGTTCTGAGAATTAAAATGAGATAATCACTAAAAGTGCTTACCACAATATCTGGAATATACTAATGGCTCAATAAATGGTAGCTATTAGTATTCACAGGACCCACCCTGAGAAACCCATAGGTGGAGCTTCCCAAGCAGGCCAGGCACTTGGACACCTTTTCCAGGAAGACCTCTTATTCTTCTGAGTATCTCCTTTTGGTATCTCCTTGCACTGTTTTCCACTCCCTACCCCTAGCTACATTCACTGGCCTACAGCTCTGTTTCTCTCCAATACAGACAGAGTTTTCAGCCTCAGTTAAGCTGGGGGCATTGGTATTTATGGGGGAAAAAGTCATTTATGTGTTTAGATTGGGAATTGATTGCAAAATACAGCTTTTCTTTTAAACCTTAGAATCAAACAGGATGAGAAGACAGCTCTAATTAGTCAATTGTCTGCTGAACTTCCTCCTACTTGGGTCTTGGCCTCTTGGTGATTTGATTTGAGTTCCACAAATAAAATGATGCCTGGCACTGTTTTCAGTCATGAGGAGATACATTTCTATAAACAAAATAATCTGATCTCACCCTTCCTCTCCCCAATTCTGCAGAACTCCCTGGGATTTGGCTTCTGTCTTTCCAATAATTATTTCCAAAGGTAAAAAAATGGACTAGCAATTGGAGTTGGAGGTCATTAAGAGTCATTGAGATTTTACCCTTCCTTAATTTAGATGCCCACTCTGTGCCTTGGGCACTGTGGAACACAGATGAATTCTAGCTCTGGGGGAGCCCTCAATTACAGGGGTGCATTATGAAAGGACTGGGAGATAGATACATAAATAAATAATTAACAAATATGGTATGGTCAGCATAAGAGAGGTTCATTCACAAGGTGCTGAATGAATGACTAACAACAGATGAGTAGGACCTCTCCTAGCAGAAGTGTAAGTAAGAGTGCTCCAGGCAACTTCACCATCAATATCACCTCCCACATTTGGATTTTCTAAACACGTTCAATCGTACAACCTTCTTCAACCATACAATGGCTCAGTGGGATAGTCAAGTCTAATGGTTATCTCTTACGTGGCTTGCTTAGCATCAATTCTGATGATAACACCTCATTATTTGATTTTGGAGACTGCTCCTTTTCTAATTTCAGTCCATATGATTTGGGTGGGGTTAACCTACTCAGTCCACTTCCAGATGTGACTATGTGACCCACACCTGTTTGCCAGTCACTGCAACACGCTGGCCAAAGTGACTAGTTTACTGATTGACATGTGGTCCACATTGGACCAATTGGAGGAAATCCTAGACTTTAGCTGAAACTACTTGTAAAGAGCCACTCTCTTTTCTACTGAATTGCTACATGCGAGACCATGAGGCTACTGTTGTTAGTGACCATCTTTGCCATCACTGGGGGAGGCTGCCTGCCTAAGGCTGACTCAAACAGAGAAAATCAGAAGAGGCTGCAAGATTCTGATGATGTCTATGGAAGACTCCACACAGTAGAGGTGAATTATCATCTGGGGGTTACAGTGCCTATGACATGGTGGATGAGAACATTCAGGTGCCAGGATTCACCCCTGAGTATGGGAGGATAGAGAACAAGATAGAGGAAACCTATCTTGGATGACTTCCTAGCACTGAGCTCTCCCAGCAGCCTTGGACCACCTGCCTGCTTCTGCACTGTTATGTGAGAAAGACACACACTTTTCTCTTCTTTGAACCACTGCTCTGGGGTCTCTGTTTCAGTCTTTTAGCCATTTGAGCATGTGGATCTGGCCATGATTGAACTAATTTGAGGAACATGAAGACAGTGTGGAACTAAGATACATGTAAGATGGGAGAGAGTAATCAGAGTTAAAGTATTCCAAAGTCCTTATTTGTTTGTGAGGAGAAGAGTTATTGATTAATTTATTAACCTAAAATGTTTATTAACTTAAAAATGCACATGGAAGGAAAGAAAAGCAGATATAGAAAACCTTATTAAGGCCAGAAAAAGGGTAAAAATAAGCAAAGAAAACACATAGCAAATAGAAAATAGAATACAAGGTGGTAGGAATATTTCCAAATATATTAGTGATTGAGGTAAACGTCAATGATCAAAACTTTCCGGTTAAAAGAGAATGTCAGACTGGAGAAAAACACAAAACAAAACGCAACTATACACTGTATGCAGGAAACATATTTAGAACATAATGACACATAAATATGGATAAAAAGTGATGGAAAATGTGTAGCAGGCAAATACTAACCAAAAGAAAGCTGATACCATTATATTAATATCAGACAAATTGATCTTAAAACAAAAATCATAATTGGGGATAAAAATGAATGGTCATCACATAAAAATAGAAGAAACAATTCACCAGAAATATACGACATAGTTTGTATCTAACAATATAGCTTCAAAATATATACAGCAAAACTTGCTAGAATTTTAAGAAAAAATGCACAAGTCCATTATTATCATCAAAAAGAGAGATTTAAAAGAAAACACATCTAAGTAACTGGTAAAACAAACATAAAATATTGTTAGGAATGTAGAAGATTTAAACAATTAATAAGCTTGATCTAATGGACCCTGCATCCAACAATTAGAGAATACACATTCTTTTCAAACTTAAATGGAATATATACAAATTGACCATATAGTAGGCTGCAAAACAAACATAAACAAGTACCAAATACTCCTACAAATCACTTCTTCTGATGACGGTGCAATGATATTAGGAACCAGTAACACCAGATAATCACAAACCTCCACATGTTTAGAAATTAAGCAAAAAAAATACTTCTAAATAATTCATGGGTTTAAAAAGAAATTATAATGGATACCAGAAAATATTCAGTGCTGAAAGAAAGTGAAACATTATACATCAAAGTTTATGGGATGCAGCTAAAAACAATATTCGCAGGGAAATTAATCACCTAAATACATACTTTAGAAACAAAGAAAGATTAAAAATACTCTACTGATCAGATTCAGGAAGTTAGAGATCATCCAGAGCAAACATAAAGAAAGTAGAAGAGCAAAAAAAAAAAAAGGAAATGCAAGGTAATTAAATAAAAAAAAAAACATGTTAGAGAATGTCAAAAAATTCAAAAGTTGCTTCTTTAAAATAGACAAACCTTTGACAGATTCATCCAGAAACAAAAACACACAAAAGTCACACATCAACAATTTTAGGATAGTAGGAGGGACAATTGTAGATATAGCAGAGATTTAAAGACTCATCGGCAAATACTAAGAATTACTGTCTGCTGATAAATTTGAAAAACCTTGTGTGGTAGGAGCCTCCAGGATGGCGCACAATAATCTTGACCTCCTGGAGTGCGTAGCTCTGTGTAGTCCGCTCCCACACTGCCTAGTGCTAACCCGAGCAACCAATAGGATATTGTGAAAATGATGGTGTGTGAGTTTCGAGGCCAGGTCAGAAAAGACATTGTGGCTTCATCTTGCTCTCCCTTGGATACCCACCCCGGGGAAGCCAGCCACCATTTTGGGAGGATACTCAGGCAAGCTGGGCTGCAAATGATGAGGAACTGAGGCCTCCTGCTATCAGCCATGAGAGTGGTCCAAATTAGAAGTGGATCCTCCAGCTCCAGTGAACCTTCCAACGGCAGCAACCCTGGCTGACATCGTGACTGCAGCTTCATGTGAGACACCCTGAAGCAGAAGCACCCAACTAGTCATTCCTGACGCATAAAAATTATGTGAAGTAATAAATATTGATTGCTATTTAAAGTGCTAAGTTTAAGGGTAACTTTTAAATTTTTAAATAAACTTTATGTACTTATGTATTTATTTTAAATATACTTTATTTCTTAGAGCCCTATTAGGTTCACAGCAAAATTGAGGATAAAATACACTCAGTTCTCATATACTCCACTCCCCATCACCACACAGTCTCCCCAACTATCAACATCCTGCACCAGAGCAGTACATTTATTACGACCGATGAGCCTACATTGACAGATCAACACTCAGAGTCTACGTTAGGGTTCACTCTTGGCGTTTTCCAGTCTATGGATTTTGACAAATATTTAATA